ATGTCCACATGTAGAGTTCCACTTTTTGTGGCTACACTAGTAGATACTGGCAACACCTCCTTTTCTAGCTTTTGATACTTGTTAGCCATCTAGATAGCTACTCCCTTTTCATTTGGGGGTTTGCTTTGTTAATCCTGGACGTGGGATACATGCATATTTCTTTTTTTGTTACTTTTGTAACACTTTATATTTTGTAGCATTACAGACTAGTTATCAAGCCTTTTTGTAGCAATACAGACTAAGTAATCAAGTCTTTTTCTTTCCTTTTCCCCCTTTTTTTCATAGAGATTTATAGTCTGTTTGCTATTTCTATAGGAAGTTGTTATTCAATTCTCTCCCATTCCCTATCTCACTGTCCAATCCACTATTAGGCGTCCCTAGTGGATTATATTTCTATCCCTCTACCTTATTTGTCCCCTCTTTTTCCATTTTTTATATACTTTTTTCAATTTTTTTTGATTTTATATATTTTTTCTATTAAAGGTTAAGTTTTAGCATTCATTCTAGGCTGGGGCTTCCTAACTGAGTGGACCTTGTGGATTGGGGAGGGAGAGGGGGCTTGTTTCCCCCTTTCCCCCCCTCTTTCCCTTAGGTCTTCCTTTTTTCTCTTTTTTCTTTATCTATACGTATGTGAGGGTTACCCCCTTAATTAGGTTGCCCCGGACACACATTTGGCTGATTTACCTTTTAGGGTATCAGCTGTTTCTAACTATTTATGTAATGCCCCAACCATATTTCATGATCTTATAAACGATTTACTTAGGGAATTAATTTATTCATTTGTATTGGTGTATCTCGGCGATATACTCATATATTCTTCTGATCTCTCCACTCACAACGGGCATGTAAAACAAGTTTTACAAACTCTACTTAAAAATGGATTATACTATAAGCTTGAAAAGTGCCTATTTGATCAGACAGATATTCAGTTCCTGAGTTATGTGATTTGTGCTTTTGGTTTATAAATGGATCCACGAAAACTTGAGGTGGTTCTGCACTGGCCCCTACCTAGTGGACTGAAAGCTATTCAGTGTTTTATAGGCTTTACCAATTATTATCGTAGGTTCATAAAGGGGTTCTCTACTGTTATAGCCCCCATTACTAACCAAACTCGTAACTGTGCAAACTGTCACATATGGTCACAGGAAGCTAAAGAAGCATTTGATAATCTCAAAACCTTGTTTGCTTCTGCTCCCATAATGGTGCACTCTGATACCAGTACATCTTTTATACTAGAGGTAGATGCATCAGAAACTGGGGTAGGTGCTCTTCTATCTCACAGAGAAAGACAGGACATGCCTTGTGACTGAACTCCCTGTACCCCTGGCTGGGTACCTCCACCAAGGACTGCTTCCTAGCTGGAACAGGGGACAAACCTCAGCACTCTCGCTCTGAGTCACCGTGGCTTGACTGGGGCCCTGGAAGCGCTCTCTCCTGCAGCCAAATGGGAACTCGCTGTAGCAACTCCCAGTCACTGGACGACACTCAGTCCTGGGAGCTCTAGTCCTGGAACCACTCCCTACTGGAGCTGAATGGGGAATTTGCTCTAGACACCCCAGGCACTGGACAGCACTCAGTCCTGGGAGCTCTAGTCCTTATAAGGACTTTCCCCGTTGAATCCTCCACACTGCAACAGTGATTAAAGAATAGCACTTTCCCCTCCCAGTAACCAGACAACACATATTTCTGGGAGTAAAAGCTGTAAGACGTTTAATGGCAGCCGCAAGTGGCCTTCCCCATCCAAGGGGCACTCCCCCTGGACCTGAGAGTAGATTACAGTAAAAACATACACACAATTACATTGGCTCTCAGGTCCAGGACACTCCCATACAAAAAAAGGTCAATCCCTCCCCTGTGCCTGGGAAATAATTGAGTCAAGCACTGTATTAAACTCAGTTATCTCCAAGGACAAAAAACACACATTTCCCAAACACCCCAAAAGTACCTAAAAAATACATAAAACCTCACAAGTTACCCCTGATAACCCTGATCTGGGTGACCAACATATCCAAAAATTACCCAGATCAGTTCAGGGGTTTAGGAATTTCCTGGAAGTCATAATTTGTGACCGCACGTATGGTCCCGTGCCCAAAACAGTTCCAGAGAATCAGGGCTTGCGGTCTGTCTAGTTTGGTAGTTTAAAAACGAACAAACTACCGAACATAGTTTAGTCTTACCCTGGAGCTTGTTCCCCTTGTTCTTGGGAATGTTTCCACCGAACAGTGTCTTTTTAAGTGTTGTAGAGCCGAACGCAGGTGATCATGGAAGTCCAGCGGTGTTCGGGAGTTTCAGTGCTCCCATAATGGTGCACTCTGATACCAGTACATCTTTTATACTAGAGGTAGATGCATCAGAAACTGGGGTAGGTGCTCTTCTATCTCACAGAGAAAGACAGGACATGCCTTGTGACCAGGGCCGGCCTTAGGGGTGTGCGAGCTGTGCGACCGCACAGGGCGCCATGGAACAGGGGGCGCCCTGTGGCCGACATAGCTCACTCATGGCCGGAGTGCAGGGGAGCTAAAAGAGGTACCTGGCTGGAGGATTAATTATTCTCCACCCGGGTCTATTTAAAAAAAAAAAAAAAAAAAATCGCGGCAGAGGGGGCGGGGTTTACCGAGCGGCGGAGGCGGGGCTTATCGAGAGGCGGAGACGTGGCTAATACCTCCCGAAGCCCCTGCTGTACAGGAAGAGGGAAAGATGCTTCCCCATCAGCCAACTGCATCCACTGGAAAGAGGTAAGTGTGTGTGTGTGACTGTCTGTGTGACTGTCTGTCTGTGTGACTGCCTGCCTGTGTGCGTGTGACTGTCTGTGTGTGTGTGTGTCTGTCTGTGTGACTGCCTGTCCTTGTGTGTGTGTGTGTGTGACTGTCTGTCTCTGTGTGTGTGTGTGACTGTCTCTGTGTGTGACTGCCTGCCTGTGTGTGACTGTCTGTGTGTGTGACTGCCTGTGTGTGTGACTGCCTGTATGTGTGACTGCCTGTATGTGACTGCCTGCCTGTGTGTGTCTGTCTGTAACTATCTGTCTGTGTGTGACTGCCTGCCTGTGTATGTGACTTTCTATCTGTGTGACTGCCTGCCTGTGTGTGTATAACTGTCTATGTGTGTGTTACTGTGTGTCTGTGTGTGTGACTGCCTATGTGACTGTCTGTCTGTGTGTGTCGCTGTAGCTGTGCCATTGTTTGTGCCTGTGCCTGTATGTGTGACTGCCTTTAACTGAGTGTGTGTGTACATGCCTGTAACCGAGTTTAAATTTCCCCCACCCCTTCCTGTCAAGGCCGCACTCTCAGGTCCCCATCCAAGGGGCACTCCCCCTGGACCTGAGAGTAGATTACAGTAAAAACATACACACAATTACATTGGCTCTCAGGTCCAAGACACTCCCATACAAAAAAAGGTCAATCCCTCCCCTGTGCCTGGGAAATAATTGAGTCAAGCACTGTATTAAACTCAGTTATCTCCAAGGACAAAAAACACACATTTCCCAAACACCCCAAAAGTACCTAAAAAATACATAAAACCTCACAAGTTACCCCTGATAACCCTGATCTGGGTGACCAACATATCCAAAAATTACCCAGATCAGTTCAGGGGTTTAGGAATTTCCTGGAAGTCATAATTTGTGACCGCACGTATGGTCCCGTGCCCAAAACAGTTCCAGAGAATCAGGGCTTGCGGTCTGTCTAGTTTGGTAGTTTAAAAACGAACAAACTACCGAACATAGTTTAGTCTTACCCTGGAGCTTGTTCCCCTTGTTCTTGGGAATGTTTCCACCGAACAGTGTCTTTTTAAGTGTTGTAGAGCCGAACGCAGGTGATCATGGAAGTCCAGCGGTGTTCGGGAGTTTCAGTATCCGAAAATAGTTTCATGAACTCGACGACCAAACACCGCTGCCTGTGTTCATGCGAACAAGATGCCCGCCACCTTGTGGTGTATGAATGCTGTTTTTACAGGGTTACTGAAATATATAAATGCTGTTTTTACAGGGTTACTGAAATATATAAATGCTGTTTTTACAGGGTTACTTAGATATATAAATGCTGTTTTTACAGGGTTACTGAAATATATAAATGCTATTTTCCCACAGTAAAAACAAACAAACTATTGGCTATTCCTATTCCATGGGAATTAGACTCTATCAGCATTGATTTTGACTTCTATTCTTACAGCTGCTTGTCTCGTCCAGTCATTTATAATTCCTTGCATATATCACCCCCTCACCTCTGCCTGCAGGGCACTCTATGAAGCAGCATTTCCTGTTGACTTCAGAGCATGCCCTCTTGTTCTGGCAATCCACTTTCTGTAAAATCTTCTTGCATTATTAGTACCAGAACTGGCAAGTCAGGCACAATAGCGTGGGATTAAGCCAGGCTCTGTGTTAGTGATAAAATTCTCCCAAAGCAGCATCTGTCATACAGATGAGCTTGTTACAAACTGACAGCTCGCGGTAACCAGGTTACTGGCCTCAGGCTTTCATTAGACGGCTGCTTAACTGATGCATGTTAACCTGATCATCGCCAAAGGCACTAAGGAACATATTGTACAGTAATGCGGTTCTGACCTCCCTTGGCAATGCAGGGGTTACTCTTGCACTGTGTTGAAGGCCGCAGTGTTCCTCACACACGCATTAGGACACGGTGACTTTGTTAACAAACTTTGATAAATCCCTTTATCCTGAGATATTTATGAGTTGCACTGGTGGAGTATAAAACCACAGACGGATTGGTTGGAAGGCTTTTCTTTCTCTAAGTGACGCTATGTATCGTGGAAGAAAGCTAATTTTCCCAACATTGCACATCTGTGTTACTCCTCACATCAAGCATAGTTTTTTCACTAAAAACTATTTGAAAGATTGAATGCTTTCCCCTAATTATTACTAGGGTGAAGGAGTGTAGGTAGGGTAATTTATTTTTTATCGGGTGGCTAAGGAATTGGAGACCCCGGCCACCAGGCATGGAGAGGGGGATGGACATGCTCATATTTGTAAGGTGGACATTAGCATGCCCACCCCATGTGTATCACATATCATTTCTTCTCCAAGTCACCACGAGCCAATGGCAAGGCTCAATCTACCGTTGGGATAGCGAAGAATCTGTGTAAGAAACAAGATAGTAGCAGCCAACAGAAAAACGATATACCAAAAGGATTAAAAGTCTGGTACAGCCCCGGAAGGGACACTTCCTTACCAACAGCGAACAAGTTCCCTGAGCCCTGTGTAATATCACATGTACAGAGAGAAGTATTGGAGGACTCAGAATTTAAATTTGCCAAAGTCTTGCTAGATCTTAGATTTTAGAATCATAGCAGATCCAATCTGTACAATGCTGTTTCTTGGTGATAGGACTGATTGCCAAAGGCTGGGTACTGAAACCCAAACAATAATAATAATAATAACAATAACAAAGTATTTAACCAGGAAAGGTGCATTCAGATTACTCTGGTTTTCAGGTACGTCCTGTGGATGTTACCTTAGTCCAACATCCAGGGGTTGTTACTATTACCCAATTTAATGGTACTCAATAATGTAAAGCGTGATCCAGATATTCCAATCCATTGGTGTAAGTTCTACATCACTAAATCATTTTCTTAACCCACAAAAAAGTAAGAATAACATAGTAAATACAATTAAAAAGGATAAAGTGACCAAGCCCTTATAAGCACAGTGACGTTTCTGGCCCTTACCTGCAGGATGACCCACTGTTGATGTCTCTATACTAATGTACCCCAGCTAATATGCAGTAACTAGTAATTATTATTTCCAGCCGAGGGGCTTCAGGAAAGCGCAGTACGATATTGAGTTGAATGTTCTTCATACACAAAGCTTGTTACCTAACTGGCAACAAGACAGACTCACACAGATTTACAGCATGATATAATATGTATGGGTGCATTACAGGGATATTTTCATAGTTCTCTAGTTTGCTGATTTGGGGATTGATAAAAATAATGGATAATAGTGTGTGCGGTATCCTAAGAGTGTGCAATATATGAACCCTGTATAATAGATCATGCTGACCGCGTGTACAGATGTGCAGGAACGATCCAGCAATGTGACTATATTCCTTTAAATTATCTTTATTATGGGGAATAAATGTAGAACAAATCTCGATGCAGCTCTGATCCTGGGGCAATCATTGTGTAGCCTTATTTTTGCGTATTTGTGGAAGCATTGTAACTAAGTGGCACATTCTGTATAACGATTTCTTTCCAACTGTAACTGTGTTGCAGAGTAATTCGGTATCTAATTACCCGTGTGCTGCTATACAAATTCAAGCTATTTTTGTCCCAGTTCTGTAATCAGCCTCAATGTATTATTCATTGTTAGTTGACATGGCATTTTCCATTGTATTATAATTAACATTTGGTTGCAATATTTTACACCAATTCCTCGCAGCATACCCTTCATGGAAATCACTTAAAATAGCTTTTTATTTCAGTTTAGAATATTAACAATTCTTTCCTTAAAAAAAGTTTAATCCTGCACATTGATGGGAAAAACAAACAAACTGAAACATGCAGAAAAACAACAGCAAATGATATAATTCTAACATTTTTAAAGTTAATTATTTTTCGGACTGTACGTTTTTTAGCGCTAGCATTAATTAGCATTTAATAAATGCTATTTACTGCTGATAAGATGGCACAGCGAGTAATGACTGTTCTGATTTTACTTTTAAAATAGTTTAGATTTACTGGAGGATTTCCATCTTACAAATATTTGGAGTTTGATGCACAAAATTACCAAATTTTACTATTTCATGATGTAAAGTCATGATTTTATTAATGACACGGAGGTTCCTATTATGCTGCATTCTATCTTTATTTCCCTCAGAAGCAAAGAAATATAACATTAAAAATCATCCAGTAACAAATATATAACATCAGAGGTCAATCTTCCTAGTACCCGGAACAGCCAATCAGCATCCAGTCCTTGGCATAAAAGTCTTTAGTTGGGCCTGATGGGGCACCGACAGCCTATGTGGAGGAGTATTCACTCTAAGGGTCACGTGAAGAGTGAATATTCCTTCACATAGCAGTTGGTGCCCCATCAGGCCCAACTAAAGACTTTGTTTTGGCACCACTTACACTTTGGACTTTGTTCATTTTAGCTGCACTTTAGTCAGCTTTGGCGCAACCTTCTTCTGTTTTGTCTTGTATATTACCTTTGTTCATAGGGCTTAGAGGGAACCCTATTTTTAGGTTGCTGCCTCCTACTTTACCTATTTATAGGATTGGTCTATTTTAGTGCTGTTTCCTTCTTTTGTACATTTCTAATGGATATGTAGTGTTGATTCTAGATCTGACCATTTGCCTCCCGTGGAGATATTTCCACAACGCACACCCCAACCCTGTAAGCTCGCATCCGATTCAATGATCAGGTCTGGGGTCGTTCCGAATATAGGCTTCCATGTGGAGAAGCCAGCAATGAAGCTTGTTTTTCGCCTCCTTGTCCAATGTCACCATGTCTTCGTATGATGCTCCACCTCTGAGGTAAGAGGCTTGCATCCGTTAAAGTGCCCGATAGTATAGAGGACCTGGGAATATGGCTTGGATGGAAGCCGCAAAGGAGTCCGATTACTCGTGCCAAGTGTTTGATGGAGAGTTGGAGAACAGCCAACATGCATCTTATTTCTTTTTTGATATTTACCAGCTTTGAAGTTGGTAGATGTAGAGTCTGAAGAGCTGAATTTACCATGAGTCCCAGGAATTCAATACATTGGGAAGGAACCATGACGGACTTTCCCCAATTGATAAGGAAACCCAGGTTTTGTAACAACGCCAGGGTCCACATCAAGTGTGTGTGAAGAAGGTTGGCCGACTGCGCTAAAATGAGGATCTCGTCCAGATAAATGATAAGTCAACTGCCTCGACTCCTTAATTGAGCAACCACGGGTTTCATGATCTTGGTGAAACACCACGGAGCTGACAACAGGCCGAATAGCAGACACCTGGACCTCCATATCCGTCCCTGCCACATGAACTGGAGAAAATTTTGATGTTGTTCCGCTACAGGAACCATGAGGTAAGCATCCCGCAAATCCAATTTGGCCATCCGATCTGCTGGTTGGAGTAAATCGCGAAGACAATGTATGCCTTCCACCTTGAAATGGTTGTAGGATACATCACTGTTCAGTTACTTTAGGTTTATGACTGATCTTACCCCCCTTTTTTGGGGACCAGGTATAGATTGCTGACAAAACCCGGGGTATGGTTTGGAATCTCTAGATTGGCTTTTGCGCATTAGTTCTTGAATCTTCTTTGATGCAAGGAGAGCATCTTGATGGGAAAAAACAATTTCTCTGTAAGGGGAGGTTTGGACTGGTTGTTTACGGCCTTGTGTGGCAGGTGCTGGTATAGGTGCAGTCAACAGGGCAGTCTGCTGAGCTGACTGCTGAGCCTGTAAAAGAGCCTAAGTGATGGTTTGTAACAATGAAGTCGACATCACGCCCATAGCAGAGATCAGAACCTGCGTTATGGATCTGGACATTGAGAAGTCCAAAAGCACCTGCATGTCAGCAGGTGCAGGGAGATCAGAGGTCAAAACCTCTTCCCCAGCAGGGTCATTGTGGGGAACTTGAGGGTCGCATGAGACCCAGAGGACATAAGTAAATCCTTGTCAGACTGCATGATATTAATATCAATAGAAATGCTAGTTTTGATAAGTAAATAGGGAAACCTAAATATAGGGTCGATTAACCCACAAAGGAAGAAAAATGCTGAAAAGAAACAGAAATACTTCAGAATGGTAAAAAAGTTGTCCGTTCGCCAAAACTGCTAAACCCCAACAAGGTTTAGACAGGAAGAGGGGAGGCTATCAGCTAAAAGGATGCAAAATTCCACCAAACGGTGGAATTTCGTGAAACAAACGCAAATGAATTGGTGTTTGCATGAAAATCCTAAGAGCAAGGGTGATAGACTAATGAACGGCTAAAAGTTCCAAACCGCGCGCATGTGCAATTCGGGAGGCGTGATGTAAAACCCGCGAATATGCAAACTACTGAACGACGTGCATGCGAGAACTGCGCCTGACTAGAAAAAAGACGCAAAAAGGCAAGAGAGCAAATAACTGTTAGGGAGAAAAAAACAGGGACAAATAAATATATTAAATAAATATATTAAATAAAATATCTTAAATAAAATATATTAAACTGAATAATTAGTGGAAAACCCCCTCAGTCCATAAAGGCTTACCTAAAGGGACCAGGGGGTATAAAGATAAACGGCAAAAACAGAAAACATTGTAAATATATTAACATGAAATAATGAAATTACGATGAATAAGGATAATAATACTAAATAATGATAAATCACAACGATAATATAACAGTAGTATATAACTATCCCACAGTTAAGAAAACGATGGGAGCAATGAACTTAACTGAGGGAGCAGCAAAGAAAGAGGAAGTGATCTAATGGTTACCGCCTATTACGCCAAGGACTGGATGCTGATTGGCTGTTGTGGTTACTAGGAAGATTGACCTCTGATGTTATATAATTATTATTGATTGATTTTTTTTTATGTTATATTTCTTTGCTGCTGAGGGAAATAAAGAAAGAGTGCAGCATAATAGGAAACCTCCGTGTCATTAATAAAATCTTGCATTACGTTCTGCAATTCTCTTTGTATTTACTGTATAAACAATATTATGTAACTCATAGTAGAGGTTGATCGAAGCCGTGTGTTGCTCAGCCCCTTGAAATCATATGGATTACATTCAATATATTCTATTTTATTATTTTACCTATTTTAATTCTAGCAGCTTTTGTAGCATTTAGTCTCTGAGATGTCCAGCCCCGGAAGAACAAAGCTGCAAATCGTTGTTTCTTTGAGACGCAAACATTTATCAGTACATTTGCAAACTGTCTCATTTGTAAGGGACCATTTCTCAAAACAGTCCCTCGGAGCCAATACGAGCAGGTGCAGCATTGTGGACAGACTGGAAGATCGGAGGGCTAATATGTAAACTTGACATTTGTTGTAAAAAACGGATTAAATATTTCAATGTTCACAGATAAAATAATGTAGGTTCTGCATGAAGGCTAACATAGGCCTCGATTTAATTTGTTTCGATTAACATTTCAAATGGTCACAGTATGAAACCTTTACAAATTATTTATGTACAGAAGTCATCGTTAAAATCTACCGGGATTTTGGTAAATAAATCATTTGACATGTTTTTTTTCCAACAGATTGTGATCAATTGAAATGCTGACCCAAACAAATTAAATTGAGGCCATAGTTGG